TTGTTCGATAAGCCAATAAAAACCGTAGATTTCTCTGAATGTATTTTTAATATCACAATTACATTCTGAATCGCTAGCCACGATATAAGGGCTACAATTAAAAATAAAATAAAAACTTACTTGATATTACGAAGAAATCAGACCCCACTGTACCGGTACTTGGCTAGAGATTGATCCGGTTAAGCTTTTAAGTATCAATAATATTCCGGCTCTTTCGGTAGGGTTTTATGTATGTTCCCAATTCCCTAATCTCTTAATTATTTAACTACTTCTTAAGTAGAAATAAGTCGAAACCAATTACTTTGTACTTGAAGACCCCCCCTATAACACTGTAGATAATGCCGTGTTATATGAATTCCATGTTGTACGAGTCACTTAGATTTTACAAATACGTGTGCCGGGCTGATAACACGGAATTATCTACAGTGTTATAGGGGGTCTACTGTATTTGTAGTTTCGGGAAAGAAGTGGAAAGACAAATTTTTATGGCAACGGATACATAAATTCTAGAGCTATTTTTGTACTTTGCACTGTACATTCATTAAATTTAGTTGTAAATAATGCTGCCAAAGTAACAGTTAATTCTTTTTAACATTGTACAAGAATTGTACACGAATTTTTCTGCATCCCCTTACAGATGGGACATACTAAATCGTAATATCACTGGTTTAACATTGAAATCCGCATAATATAAGATTGGAGAGTGGAATAAAAATATCAAATATTTTAATGGATTTTTTAAAACTCCTTCAACTATACAGAACTATCATAAAAATGGACCAGTAAATTCCTATCGGTTGGGTTAAGTTATAAATCTACTCATAATTGCTTTACTAATGAACCTTGTGTTCCAATTATGCCTTTACCCCAAATATTAAAACAAGGTAAAGGATTATATCCTAACGAAGTTGATCAAACCGTAATAGTTTCCCCTACTTTATCATTAAAAACATACAACAAATGCCGAGACATCCATATACAACTTATTGTGATTTCGAGTCTATTCTAAAGCCAATTAATAGAACATGAGAAAGCAACAATTTGTTATCTTTTTAAAAATGGATTTACTAAGTAAAATCCTAAAGTACGAGACCATGATCATTATACTGGAAAATATAGAGGAGCTGCTTGTAATTCATGTAATTTAAAGTATAAACAACCAGTGTTTATTCCTATACTATTCCATAATCTGAGTTCTTAGGATTGTCACATGTTTGTAAAGAATTTAGGCAAAGACAAATCAAACTTAAAATTGATTCCAGATAATGAAGAGAAAACATTTCATTCAGTAAGATTTTGAGAATAGATTCTAAAGAATATATAGAATTATGATTTATAGATTCATTCAGATACTTAGCAAGTAGCCTAGGTACTCTTTCTTCTAATCTAAAGTCAGAACAATTAAGAGAAACAAACAAGTATCTTGTTGCTTCAGATTTAAATACATTATTCAGAAAACAAGGATCCAAAATAATTAGCGAAGGGCTGCAATTTTTAATTGATTTAATTTAAAATATATGTTTTCCATCTCAAAATTGTAGTGTCCTGCCCATGTACAGTACAATATTTCATACTTTTCCTGATAACGGCAATCATGCCAGTCGTCTATGTAACTCCATTCAAGGGAAAAATTTTGAATTGAATTCATTTCTTATAAAGTTAATTGGGGTCTCCTGCCTGTTTTCCGTATCTGTTCTCGACTTTCATCTATCTAACACCGTTCTGGAAATTAAGGGACAACGAATAGACACCAGTGGGAATTTATATGTATATAATTTTTATTTTTGAATTGCAGTCCAAATAGTTAAGATGCTTGCACCTAGGTCCTAGGGTATAATGGTTATATGTGCAATGGGGTGAGATAATGGAGTAAGATGCATAATTGGTTATTTGAGCAAAACTTAAGTTGCTATGTTAACAACAAAGACAAGATGGTTGAGACATACACCTGGGATACATCGGATTCCAGTTAGGCATGATAGATTTGGATGAAACTTAGAATACTTACGGCCACAAATCAATCTTTAGCCAGCAGAATAAAAGAGCACAGATATAGTTGATAAAAAACCCAGTTACCTGATTCTGATGCATAAGAGGCTAAGATCGTACGGTATTTTTGCAGAATGACTGTATGACCTTGGTCTCTTATGCATCAATCAGGAGCCATGGTTAATGTAGAAGAGGCAAGACTTGTATGGTACAAGCTACAAATAACAGCACAAAAGAGAAGTCTTGAACTTCTGGAGATTTTTTAAGTCATCAAAGAGGGGTTGCTGCATTAACTACAAGAAAGCCAACTGTATCTTCTTGGCATGGAAGACATTTTACAACACCCCACAGTGTGTCCATTGTTGTGCAAGTTTATACCACTCTTGGGTTGAAAACTTTATTTTATTGTATTAGGGTTAGTAGTTATGTATTGTATAATTAATTGTACAGTATTTTGATATTTGTATCTATTCTTTTTCTCTCATTAGTTATACTGTATGATTAAAATGTAATTCAAATTTTTAAAGTATGCAAATTCTATTTGGAATGTTCTACTGTTAAATGTATCCAATGATTGTAATTAAAGTTGTCGTATTCAGAGAAATGTAGCTCCAACCAATAAATCAATTGACACCAGATTTGTGTACACTATTCAAAGGATGCAGAAAATAATTTAAAAAAAAAAATTTTGCCCTTATTTAGGTGTTACAAACAAAACCCGGAAAACTTCATTCGGTCAACCGTTGAAGAGAAGCAAACCCATAATTAAATACCAGTGTTTGGTGGTGTAGTCTACTTGGGTACAGTTTTGATCTGTCACCCAATGCAGAAATCTGTAGAGTTTATTATATTATAATAGTATAATGAAAGATTTCTGCATAGAAGTGATACAAAAAAAATTTTTGTTGTATCTAAATTAAATGTTCCTAATTGTATGATTTTTCAGTTGGATCAATGTGACAGTTCTTATGTCAAAAATTACGAAATTTATCATGTTACATTTGGTTTTAATTTATGTTAATTATTGAATTAGCTCAAATTTAATGCAGTAAATTTTAGGCATTTATAAGTATAGAATTCTACTGTTATTAAATTAAGATTTCTTTTATAAATACCAACAATCAAATCAACTTTTATTATGACTACTAACCAAATGAAAGATGTCAAAATTTTTAGATAATAAATTGAACTATTAAAATATTTGCTGCATTAAAAAAATAATAATTAATTTTAATTGGATTTGATTTTGTATCAAATATTCAACTTGTTTTTTTTTAAATGTGTAACATTCAAGTCGTATTTTCTTTTTTATTTCCCAAATTTTTCAGTCTTCTATTTTTAAATTTTTGCTGAAACATGATATTTTGAAGAGCTTTGAAATAAATTACATATAATTTAGTAACACTGTAGAATACTTTTAAAATAATAAATTATTAAAACAATTTTTGAAGTAAAACATTTCACAGCCATTACAAAAGCTTTAACTGGTACAAAATGCAAAGCTATATATAAACAATATTAGTTACAAGCATTAAAATAATGATCTAAATTTCCCAAGTAGCAATTGAAGTTCTCCTCTTCCATCTCCATTCATTCTGTAAACAATAAAATTCATTCATAAGTCTAAGATAATTATAAAATAATTTTTAAATATTTATAAATATTATGTAAAATTAGCTAAATTCCTAAGTATTTTTTTATGACAGAATAATAAACAATAGCTTATAATTGTTATAACATTGTTTTTATAATTATTGCGTGTAATTATTATGTATAGAGAAGTGGTCGTTTCACTAATTACAGTGGAACAGTAAGTCAAATAGCTGAGGTAATAAAGATGCCAGCACTGAATTGAAGGATGGTAATTCAAGTTGGGATGGGATGCTCAGAGATTTTCTTGAATGGTTTGACTCAGATGTGTCAAATCCATTTTCTCTTCACCCAAATGTATACTTAAACAAACCCTGATGATAACCGGCTCCTTTCAGTGTCAATAGAGCAGAAAGTTTATATTTATTACATACTAGCTTGTTGCACCTGGCATTGCCTGGGAGGAAAATCCAATACTTATATAGTTTTCACACTTTCAACTGGACACACGTCAGTTTTATGTGCTATCCATTGCAGTAATAATATAGTGCATCTATCCATACATTTCTATATTCAATGATTGACTCAACTGTGAGAAAACAATGTTTCTAAATGGACCATTCAGTTCTCCGTTGAGACTAATGACGTCAGCGATGTTTTACCATTGAGTATTCAAGAAACTAACATGTTGGCATTCATGAAACAAGTAATTTTGCTTATAGAAACTATTAATTTGCTCTTGCTGTGGATGCTATAATAGCGGATAGATTAATGAATGATCTATATATGATAAAACGTGATTGCATGATTATGTTGGATAATTTGGTCAATATTGAAATATTAAGCTTTTTTTCAGAAACAAACTACCTCCACAAAATTGATTACAACCGATATTTAGCTCTCTTTAAGTCTTCCTAATGATATAAATATTCAAGAAATTCAAATTATTAAAGAAAAACCCAGTATAGAAGAAAATGATACAGAGAAGGGTTCGTTTGAATAAAAGGATTTATTCGAATAATGGTTAAATGAGTTACTTTAATTATTTAGCAAAACAGTCACAATCGTTGTCTTCTTAATTAAGTTGGCCATCATAAAAAGTTCCCTTTCAACGGAAACGTTTCTTTATTCTACAACACATGATGTCAGATCGTTCAACGGAGAGACTCAACAGAGAACTCACAAGTGATGCAAGTGTTGAATTTAAAAACATACGGTATTTCGCAAAATATTATTGTCACAGTAATTAGGTGAATATAATATTATATCCTTTTTTGTACGAATTATATTTGGTTTACTAACATTTTTATTTTTTTGCCAACTGATGGTGTTACAGGCAGTAAGTCAAATGTAGGAAGAAATTAATTAATATATAGAAATTGAATCAATATTTTTGGATGGTATGTATGACATTATCCAAGTTAGAAGTATGTTAATGTAAGTGCTCAGTTTCAGAGCAATTGGTCAAATAGCCTAGGAGTATATAGCAAACAAACAAACATTCTCATTTATATATATACAGAAAAATAAAAAGATTATGTATATATAAAACACAAAAACAAACAAATATTACTGATAAACTTTTAATATGACAAAGATATTAGATATATTTGTAAACAACATAATAAGAATATCTATACGTAAAACTTAATTTATAAAGAGTAATGAAATATGAAAAATAAGTTTTAAATCAATAAAGTGAGAGTAAGTTTTAAATCAATAATTAAATAAACTTGAAAAAAAATTTCAATTCTGCTTTATAGACTTACTTTATTTCAGTGATTTTCATCATGTACTTTGTACATACAATCATTTTAAATTTAATAATGTCAACATTCCTTCAGCAAACTTTCATCTTCTATTTGAGAAAACATACAATTGTCTAAATTGCTTATTATGTTCAGGTTACGACCCAAACTGAAATTAAACACTTATGTTATAAAATAATTCTATTAATATTTCACACATTTAAAATAAAAAGAAATTTTACTCTTTAAATCCAGAGACAAGTTCTTCGACTTTTGAAGTATGACAACAAATTCCACAGGAAGATGTGGTTGGATCAAATAAAGGTAGCAAATATTTGGTTCCAACAGATTGTAAATCTTCTATATTTACCTTAAATATCTGATTCAATAAGGTTTTCCTAAAATAAATACAGTTTATCTGTTTTTTGTAATTTAACGCATTACAAATGAAAGAAATATAAGTAAATTAGTGCTTAATTTAATAAATATTAAATATATTACCGTATAAAATCTAAATCTACATCTTTATAGTAAGAAACTAAAGACTGAAATGAAATATGTGGTATAGAGGCCTCACTTTCCTCGATAATTTCGTATACCAAACAACTGCGACTAGATTCCAATAATGATTGATCCCACTGTTCTTTTCCACTTAAAAGATCATCCTAAAATTCATTAAAATACTTTTAAATACCTTTCAATCAAGAATAAATAAAATAATAATAATAACTTACAATATATTTTTTCGTTTCTTTACATGCAGCAACCATAGCAGTGCACTGATACAAAACAAAGGTTAGCAATCCACTATTTTCCTGCAGACTAATATGAAAATGATAAGAAAGTCCCATGCCTCTTATTATACACCAAAGTGGACCCTAAATATTTAATTTGTTTATTTTAAAATTAAATTTTGCTTAATTTCTAAACACTTCATTTTGTACATTACCTCTGATTGATTGAGATAGCTTAACAGAATTATTAATGCTGGATAATCGGGATGTTTAGAAGAAACTATACATCTTGTTGCTTGAATCATGTATGACGAATCCACAGATCCAACACCTGTAATACAGCTCCGAGAAACCGAAGTCGGCAGAGGAAGTAAATATTCGGTATTGTTCAATATCTTATGCCTTTAAAGAGATGTTGTATGATATTAAAAATTATAAACTAAATACAAATGTATGTTTAATTTATGTTAATTTAATTTTAATATATTATTGGCCAAAAAATTATCTTGTTATGTCTCCCCTCCTGTAGATTTTGAGAAATTGAGTTAGAAAGTTTTTAAGAAAAATATCAGGAGAATAGACAGAGTAAATTGTTCTTGCTGAATCAGTGTCAATAGTAGAGATGAGCCTAATGGATTTGAATGAAAATGGAAAGAAAGACAATAGAACAACATAATATTAAAAATATACATGAAAACAGAAAATATTACTGATCAAAAACCATTTTGTTCTAAATATAAATATCCAAAGGTTGTTTTTATATAAATTTGTAACAAAAGAAGAAGCATTAGAGACTTTCCCCTTTTTCCATTCAGTTCTCACAAAGTAAGAACAGGAAAATATTAAATATTAATGTAACTGTCAACCAGTCCTTTTCCCTTCACATCAACCCACAAAATTAACAAAAATATGTTATAATGGTCAAACGTCAAATATGAGAAAGTTTATGATCAACTTAGTCTAGGAAGGAAATCTATAAACAATCACTGACAAACAATCGTGTCATCACTACCAAACAAATGGCCACATAATCAGATTCCCACACTAAAGACAGATGTAATGAGAACACATCTGACGATTGGGGCAGACATCTTTAAAGGCCGACATAACTTATGGCTTGTCCAGCCATATGAAGGTGGCAAGTTAGGAAACAATGGACATAACTACTCCCATCTTGCCCTATAATAAATGAAACCAGAAGACTCGCACTGGATAACGAATTTACTTTGATTTGACCTGAAGACATCGGCTCATCAGAGACATTCAGCTAAGGTATAATTATGTACTCTCTCTCAGTCAGCACGAACTTATCTAGGTAGTCCCCTGTTATCACTTGGGACCAAATGTAGATTTAGATAGATAGATGTTACTTATGCCTGTCTGCTTTTTGGTGTATCTGTTTATTGTATGCTTTTAGTTAACTCATTAAATTGTTATTTCGTTGTTAACTTGATCCCACATGGACTTATTTTGATGCATTAAGACACCCTATCGATGTACTCATTGCACCTCCCCACTCGACTTTTTGCCCTCCTAGCCATCCAGTGACAACGTGAGCGGTCATCACCAGACCATCGCTATTAAAAGGGGTTAAGAGTCGACTATCTACTCCCAGCTTCTCACATAAACACATATTTAGATAAAAATTAATTTGAATGCTTACTAATTAAAGAAATAAGTGTTCTGCATAAAATCATATAACATTCAATTTGTCTTAGTTATATATAAAAAAAAAAATTAGGTTTATTTAAATATCCAATGACAAATATATATATATATATATATATATATGCTAAAATGATCGATTCTATGGGATATATGACCTCCAAGGCATTACTCAGTGTAGTTTCATTCCACACAGTTGACTCATCAGTGCAAACTACTACAAATCATTCTACAGTACCATCTTTGTCACGCTATAACAGAAAAATTCCTTGACTATTGAACTATGATATCAATATTCTGCAAGATAATGACTGCCAAAACTGCAGACAATGTCAAGAAAATTTTTTGCTGTTAGGGACAAAGTGGTCAATCAACCATCTTCCATATCCCATAGACATTAGTTTTTCTAATTTAATACTTAATAAATCTTTCTTATTTAGGTTTTCCATTTTTTTTTACAGAATACAATTAACAAAAAAAAATTGCTGTGATATTTGTGGTGTCCCTGATATATTTCTCACATGAATAACTTTATATAAAATATTTTGCAATAAATAATTTAAAAACCAATTACTTGACAATTACCTTAAAAATGATTTTTGTGATGGCTTTTCCATTAAATTCTTCCAATAAGAAAGTGAATTTTGTCCAAGAGTATTTAAATTAGCAGTCATATGCACTAGAATGTTTTCAGGTTGTATCAACTTTCTTCTTAGTTCCTCTAAATCATTGATAACCTGAAAATTATTTTAATCATTAAATTTTTTTATGTTTTAGTAAATTTATTTAGTCATTTAAAAATATTATTCTTAACAAATATATTCTTTATAGGACTGTTAGCAACTGAATTGATTAATGATTGAATAATCTAAACAACAAGTACATGACACCACTGATAAATGCTACATTACCAAAATACCAAAAAAGAAAACAAATTATCATTAAACCTAAACATACAACTGTTGGACTAAATGTAAATTAAGTATGCTTAAAAGTTACAATTTGTAACTTTTAAATATATGACAAAAATTTGTGCGCGCCAACTCATCAGCTGCTATATGGATCTTCTCAGAAGCCAATACATAGAGAATAGTGAAAGAATTTACTTATTATTCAACTTGTTTAGCACAATGAATTTTCAAATAGTCATTATTGCCAAACAATCTGATATATAAAAATGACCGTTAACAGTCAAAGAGCGTGACTATGCTGTGTGCATAATTTTAAATAATCACACCTCAGAAAAAATGTGTGTGTGTGTGTGTGTGTGTATTAAAATTATATATTTAAAACATGTAATTTGAGAATCTATTGTAGTTGAGTATGAGAATTTCATTCAGAATCAATCAAAAAACTTTTTGATAATATATTGTTCAAATAAATAATTATAAAATTAAGTTTTAAAAACAACTTACTTCATTTGGACTCGATTCTAAAAGTTTCTGGATTTTTTTAAAAAAAATGTTTTGCTTTAATAAACTACAGCATGACTGATTACTGTTTTCCTTAAATGTGACATTATTTTCAAGACAATGCAATATAGAATCTCCTTGACGTTTACACTTGGCAATTTTTTTTAACATTTTTTTCACAAGAACTTGTATACGATCTACAGTAAATTTGGTTTTATATAACAATTCATGAATCCACTGAATTCCTTTTTGATACTTTTCTTCTTCCACCTGTAATAACAAAACTGTTAGTTATTAAATTTTATAAGTTTTAATATTTCTTTTAAAAATTATTAATTGAATTGAAAAAATTTATCAACAAATCTTTTCAATAAGACCAAATTGCCATTCTCAAGTAAAAAGAATGAAATAATGAACACTGAAAAAAATAGCTTTTAAAAAGCTATTATACTAAATGACTTACAAATACAGTGGAACCTCGGTATACGACCTTAATCCGTTCCCGATGTTTGGACTTATACCGAATTGGACGTATACCAAACCAACCTTTCCCATAAGAAGTAATGAAAAAATGATTAATCCGTTCTTGTGTAAAAAAAATGGCTGGCTTTAAACACCTCGCTTTCCTGACTAGTTCCTGCTTGATTTTTCGTGAGATCAACGTGTATCTTTTTAGCTTTCTCGCAAATAATTTCTTCCGATACGCTGTCTCCAGCACTGTTTTTCAGTTATCTAAAGCAAAAGCAATTTCTCGACATGATCTAATGTCTTCGATCTCTGTTTATAAATTGATTTAACCTTTTTCACAATGTTAGCAGATTTAATAATGTCTTTATTTTTCGCAATTGTCCATATCATTGTTCTCGGAATACGGTAGGCAACAGTTAAAATCTCGAACACGCGTGCCACCTTTGTATTTCTCAACAATCTCTTTTATCAGTTCCATTGTAATTCTAGTCATTTTTTTAGTTTTCTGTCGCTTTTCATTTGCCTTTTTGCAATTCGTGATTAATAAAAATAATAAAATTTTACTTACGAATTAAAATCAGAAGAAATTTAACAAAGTTATAAATCGTTGCACCACGAACGTCTAGTCTGGTAGCATCGATAGTGCTACTTGTTCACTGATGGCACGTATAATTGAATTATGTCGTATACCGGACAAAAGTCGTATACCGAGCAAAATTTGTTTCGTCCAAACAGGATGTATTCCGAATTGGACGTAATCTAAAGCAGACGTATACTGAGGTACCACTGTATTTTGAAAATTTATATTTAATTGTATAACTTATAACTTATGTTTTTAAAAGTTCTATTCAATGCACATTGCTTTGTTATTTTACTTGGAGATACATTGCCCTTAAGTTGATTTTGAATGATTTCGTGTTTTAGAGAGTTCATAAAAAGTACTCATTTATAAATTTTTCAATTTAATTGTCTTTAAAAATTTTATTTTTAACATCCTAAAACTATAAAAAATATTTTTATTAGTTTATCAAAGCCTTCATCATCTTGCAATACAATAAATATATTTTTATATTTTGTTTTTAAACAACTTATAACCATTATTAGCAATATCTCAAAATAAACATTAAATTTCAAATTACCTTTAAAAATAGGGTGACTAATTGAGCAAAAGATCCGGGACTAAAAACATCCAACTCGTGTAATCCAAGGAAACATCCTTTCTCTAGAGTATCAGCATCCAGTTCAGTAACAACTTCTTTATATGACACTAATTCTAAAGTAGAAAAATTTAATTAAAAAATAATAATAAATAAATAACTTATTTTAAAATAAAATTATAAGCTTTAAAATTATAAATTTTATTTTAAAATAA